GTGTGTGTGTGTGTGTGTGTGTGTGTGTGTGTGTGTGTGTGTGTGTGTGTGTGTGCGTGCATGTGTGTGTGTGTGCGCGCGCGCGTGTTCGTGTTGACTGCAGCAAAATTTGCAAAAATAACGCTTAAACGTCCTGCTCAAGGCAGACTCTTGTGAGCGTCCGATGGATACACCGTCTGACTGGTGCGCTGTTTGCAGTGTGTAAACAATGCTTTCAAGGTCTAACGCGTGACATGGTCATGACTTCGAGGAACTGATGAGGCGAGTTTGCGCAGCGCAGGCACGGCTTGCTAAACGCCAACATCAACGGGTGGGAGCAAGACGGCAGATGGCATCGGTTTGGCAACATGCCCCAACGGCTTACACGCCCTGCGCCCCCGCCCCCAACCTGCAGGTGTGCCATGACCGCCCGCAGCTCTTGGTCGACCGCCCTGAAGCGCCCCGCCTGGCCGGGCAGCGCGCCGCGCGCGAAGATGGGCTCGAGGTAGACCCACTTGCGCTGGAGGGCCGCGAGGGAGGAGAGGCCCTCCTGCAGCAGCACCAGCTTGGACTCCCAGGCGGACGCCTCGTCCTGTTTTTCAGGGGGGGGGGGGTTGACAAGCGGTGATCGGCGCTTAAGAGTGGGGTTCAGGGTTGAGGTGTGGATTTAGGCTTGGGAAAGTGGTTTGCTTGGCGCTGGCTCTGGCTGGCCGCAGGGCCGTCGCCGACCTTGGGGTGGGGGTGCTCTGCAGCAGAGGCTGCCATCAGTGATTCATATGCGTGTCTAAGGCACGCCCTGCTGCAAATGAGCATACAGAGCAAACCACATAATCCATAAAATGCAAGCTGCAGACCTGCACAGCATGCCATTAAATGGGGTGCCCGCCCCTTCCCCGCCCCCACCTTGAACAATGAGTAGTATGCGCTCTGCCTCAGGCTGCCCACGAGCGCCTGGTGGTCTGACACCTCACCCAGCACCTCCCCCCAACCCTTGATCAGCGCCACACCGCCGCCGCCGCCGCCCCCGCCGCCGCCGCTGCTAGCTGCCCTGGCGTGCGGCGCCGCCGCCGGCGGCTTGCCGGGCGCCGGCGTTGCGGACGGGGCGTCGGGTTTGGGGTCTGCGAACGAGAACTCGCGGGTGAGGCCCCAGAGGCGCAGCTCGGTCAGGGCCTTGCGGATGACCGCCTCTCCCTGAGCCTGTATTGGAATTTTTGTATGGAGGCGAGAGACGGAGGGGCACGTTGTTAGGGTCTCAACCGCACGGATGCCAACATACCTCTGCACGATTTCATGCCTGGGGGCCGAATTGGCACGCAAATTAAGGAGCACGCGCAGCCTCGGAAAGCACAGCGTCCAAGGAGATCACAAATCACCTGTGCATCGAGGGCGCGTATGGCCTCCGCGGCCGCGGCGACGGCGTCCGCCTTGTCCAAGAAGTGGGCCAGGGTGACCGTTTCCTTGAACAGCGCCCCCGCCTTGAACCCCAGCAATGCGAACAGCTGGCCCCAGTGGGTGTCCTCCCAGCCGGCGCCGCGCATGCAGGACTTGAGGTGCGGCAGGCAGCGCCTGGGGATCAGGGGGCGTGCGCATGGACCGGGGCGGGCGGCACTGTCAGGCCCCTCCCTCCTGACGGTCCGAGGTGGCAGGGCCTGGCTTGAGCCTGGTAGGAGGCACGTGAGCTTGTAGCCTCATGGCATTCAACGGGAATCACATAGCCTTATGTTGAAAATTAAGGTGCCATTCCCAGATCATGGATACCCCCCCACCTGTATGAGTCAACCTCCCGCAGCAAGACCGACGCAATGGCCTCCGCCGCCGCCGCGTCCGACGGGCCGCCTTTAGGGCCGCCCGCCGCGGGGGCGGCGCCGCCGCCGCCTTTCGTGGGGGCTGCGCCCGCGGATGCGACCGCCTCCCATTTTGCAAGGAAGTCCTCGATCTTCCAGACCTGGAGGTCGCGGCAATTGGCGCTTTTGAAACGGCAGGCTCAACCCAATCGGACAGGGGCTGTCCAACAGCAAGGCCTGTCACGTCTTTCCACGCCCCAAACCACTCTATGAGGCACCGCAGGCTGGCGGAGGCGCCCCCACTGATGTCGCCACAGGATTCGGTCAATATTGCAGCAATACGCAGTCAACCTGGCAGCTCGATCCAGCCAGCCTCGGCGCAAAGGTTGGGTGCGTGTCAGAAACGTGATCCGCCGGGTTGGCTGCCACCAACCTGGTCGCGCATGGATAGCCAGTCCCTGTGCGCCAGCTCGTCCCGCTCCCGCAGGAACTCGGCGTACCGCCCCCAGCTGGCGCGTGCGGCCGCCACGTCCGCGGCCAGGTCCTCCAGCTCCTGGAAGGCGGGTGCGTCCACGCCCAGCGCCTCACACTCCTGGGTGCAAAAACAGTTGAAGAGGACGGCGTTAGTTGGTCCCCAGGAGGTGCCGATGTGGTAGGGGTTCTGGAAGTTGACGGAGGACCGCCTGAGCTTTGCTTGCTGCGCAACACTGGTGGAGAAGGGTGATCAGTCATTCACGAGGTAGTGCGAGGTGCGTGCATACAGGCTTCTCTTGAGGCCAGGAGAGAACCATCAAACCCTGAACCCCTTCCTGGGCGTGAGCAATCAGCATTGCACTATCCCGGAAACACCTTAAAAACCAGGATGTTGACGAAACGGCCGTACATCAGAAAGGCCCGTGCCCATCAGGGCCGCTGGCGTAACGGAAAATCAAGTGTGTGGATAAGATGAGGTACCTTGTGTCACCCACCTGTGCGTGCTTGGCGGCCGCGTCCTTCATCTCCTGCAGCTGCGCCCACATGCCTTCCAGCTGCGCGAGGATAATTGCAGGGTTGCCACCAGGGCCGCCGCGCGGCCGCAGCGCCTCCCACCTGCGAGCACGGGCAGCTCCAGGCTTCAGATGAGTCAATGTGACGCAGATACAGCCCCTATCATGAAGACCCTCGGGGATTTGGAGCCCGCGCTGACTGATATGAGCTGCATTTACGGTCAAGCTTCGGTTTTGCATCGTACAGTACAGCGCGAAACAGCCCTGCTGCAGCCCCACCTGCAGGAACAAGGGGATCATGCCCCTTGTGTTGCACAAGACAGGGCCCCACCTGGAGGCAAAGCCCGCGACGTCCCCCCTGAAGTCTGCGGCCCGCCGCGCCACCTCGGCCTGCAGCCGGGCGCGCTGTGACTCCAGGTGCGCGTCGTACTGCAGGAGGGCGGGATGCCAAAGCGGTATAAAGAGCGCATGGCGCGCGGTGAGAGTTGCACCGAGGCATCATCACGCATTGCAAGTGGTGCGGCAGGGGGCACACATCACTCTTGTGGTTCTCGAAGCGGATGCTTAAAGTACAGCCTTGCTGGCGACAGCGAATGCAAAACTCAAAACAAATCACCACCGGCACGGCTGCTTCCAGCGCACACACCTGCTGCAGCGCCGCCGTGAAGCCGTCCCAGCGCTGCGTCACCGCGGACAGGTCCACCACGGCGGCGCCGCCGCCGCCCGCCAGCGAGCCCGACAGGGACGCCGCCGCCGCCGAGGACGCGGAGGCCGCCAGCTGGCGCAGCAGGCGGTTCTTTTCTTCGACGCGCTGGCGCAGCTGCGCGCAGGTGGCATTGAGGATACGCAAGATCACGGAACGGGTTATTGACGCTTTTGAAACGTCAGTCCACAGTAAAGCAGGGTTTGCAGAAGACGCGTGAGAATATGTGTAGAAGTTGTGTGATCAGACCCAGTATTGTCAGTTTACCAGTCCCCTTGGTCCTGACTTTGAGGTGTTGTAGGCAACGTGACATCCGAGAAAACACAAACAGTGTGTCAGCAGCGGCACTCACCCTCGCAACCTCCCCGAGCCTTGCCACCAGCGCCCGCGCCTCGCGCCCCGCGCGGCCGATCTCCTCCGCACTCGAGGGGGCCAGCGCGAGCAGCGCCTCGCCCTGGGTCACAAAGTCATCCATCGCCTGGCGCTCCGCCACGGCCTGGGGAGGGCGCGCCCAGAATTGGGGTATGGGGGGTGCGATTGGGGTGATGGGGGGACTTTGAAAATGCTTGCGGCTATGGCACGCAGCGTGTTGAAGCGACAGCATTTGCTGCACGTATGCCCGGGGCTGAGGAAGCCCCTATAATGCGTAACCGCGTGCATGCTGCCTATGTATGTTTGATGCGTTGAACACTAGTAGAGCCCTCAGCCGGCAGCCGGCGCACCTTGCGCCGCAGCACGGCACCCAGGGCGCCCCTGAGGCGCCGCACCCCCTCCTCGACGCCCGCCCAGAAGGGGCCAGTGGAGAGGCGGTAGCAGTCAAGGCGGATCTCAGGAGGCAGGCGCTCCAGGTCCCTGGAAGCTGCCTGGAAGTTGGAGCATGAGTGTGCAGAATATTGTAATTTTGATGTACCGACAGCGTGCAAAGATTCAGGGACTTTGCACAAGGGTGATATGCATAAGGATCATGCCAGTGCCTGTGCTCTCGTCTGCAGCCTGCATTTGGCGCAGCACAGCACCATTCCAGGCCAGCACGACACCCATTTGGGGCAGCGCAGCACCCATGTAGGGCAGCAAGTACGCACCTTTTGCATTCCAGCCCGCCCTGCTCCGACCACACTAACCTTGAGGCCCCGCAGGTTGGCCTCGAACTCCTCAACCTCGGAGCACTGCGCCTCCACCAGCGCCTCGAGCGCCTCGGACCCGCCGGCGGCGGCCTCGGCCCAGCCAAGGGCGGCCCACTCTGCCAGCTTCTTGGCCTCGTCTGACAAACGCGAAAGCAGCGTCTCCGACGCATCGTACACCTGCATGGGTCGCAGCGAGGCAGTCGGTGACAGTGAATCAGGTCAGAATTGAATGCATCTTTAGGATTACATGAAACCTGCCGAAAAGGCTGGTGTCCAGCATCTGCATATCTGCCCAGCAGTGTGCCTGGACAGACACTTTGGCTTGCAGGCGACGCAAAACACGCATGCCATCAGCCGCAGATGCTCCAGATGGGAGGCTGGGTCCCCTGTCTCGCCAGTGTTCCACCAGCACGGGCAGGGTCACCTTTGCGATCGCGTCGGGGTCTGCGTCGGCGACCCATCTGAAGAAGCCGGGGCGCTCACTCAGGTCGCTCACACCCTGGAGGCAGGGCGTAAGTGGGTGGGTGCATCATATCACAGAAGGAGACTGGCGCAGATCTCCCGCCGGTTTCTCACACGCAACATTCAGCACTTCGACGTTCGCTCTAGATCACAGGTCAGCGCTGTAGATGACAGGTCTCGTGCTGACCCAGTCGAGATCAGGCCGCGGTGCTGCTTGCAGCGTCATATGGCTGAGAGGGGCCTTGCAAATACACCACATACAAAAGTTTGGGGTATGCGGCGCCCATTCCGACTCCAACGCCCTGGGCCCGCGCCTCTCCCCAGACCCCACCAACCTTCATCTTCGCGGGCAGCCCCAAAAAGGACCCCAGGTGCTCTGAGTAGTGCCGCAGCCGCAGCTCCTCGACGGGCGGGTCCAGGCACGGCCGGCCGCCTCGCAGCACGACGCGCACCTCCACCTGGCGCAGGGCGGTCATTGGTCAAACTAGGTTTGACCGTTGGCTTGGGGCCAGAAGCTCGTTCATTTCTAAAGCAACGCATGAAAGCTGGGGTTCGTGTTGTCGTGTGCCACTCGCTGCTGGTCTGTACGCCGAAGCCTGTCAGCCAATAGGGTTTTACGCCTGGAGCTAAGGAGTGACGACATCTTGCGCCCATGCCCAGCTGTCCTCTCCCGGGTTGCTGCGCTTGCCAAACAACAGGGGCCGCAACATTGGTGGGCCGCGTCCCTCCCTCGCTCCATCACTCGCTCTGCCGCGCTCACCTCTGGCAGGGACTGGTTGAGGCAGGCGAGGCCGCGCCTGAACTGCACTGCCAGGGCCTTGGCCAGCTGGAAGTCCCAGTGCTGGCGCCACACAGCCTGGGGCAGGGATTGGGACAGGGTGCTTGGTTATAGGGCTCTGAGTTTCGGACATCTGATATTCACGTTCAGGTGAAATCTGTTTGAATCAGTGCGCAGCAAGTATCATGGGTGGGGTCTGGGCTTGGTGCAACGCCAGGGGCCTACAAGCAGGATTAAACCAATTGAGCCACGTCCACACTGGGCTGCGCCGAAGCAAAAGATCAGAGTTTGCTCCTGCGCACTGATGCTCAAGGCCTCGCCAGCCCTGGTCAGCTACCTTCACCGCTTGATCTGCCTAGTCTGGCGAGTGCGCAAGGCCCCTGTGGATTGGAAGCGTGCGCTTCTGGCAGCCCTGTACAAGGGCAAAGGAGATAAGCGCGCATGCGATAATCTGCGGGGGATTAGCCTGCTCTCCATTCCTGGCAAGGCCTATGCGGCTCTGCTGTTGCGGCGGGTCTCACAGCACCTTGATGCACGGCTGTTGGAAGCGCAATGCGGGTTTCGGCCCGGCCGCGGTCTCACTGATGCCACTTTCACGCTGCGCCAACTCATGGCGCGGAGTTGGAAGCACAAGGGGCAACCCTTGTTCTTGG